CTTTGCACACTGTTGGCATTCTCTCAACCAGCTTCATGAGGAATGCTTTTCCAACAGTCTTGAAAGAGTTGCCACATATGCTGAGCACTTGTTGGCTGCTTTTCCTTCACTCTGCGGTCTAACTCATCCCAAACTATCTCAATTGGGTTGAGGTTGGGTGATTGTGGAGGCCAGGTCATCTGATGCAGCACTACATCAATCTCCTTCTTCGTCAAATAGCCGTTACACAGCCTGGAGGTGTGTTGGGTCAATGTCCTGTTGAAAAACAAATGATAGTCCCACTAAGCACAAACCAGATTGGATGGCGTATCGCTGCAGAATGCTGTGGTAGCCATGCTGGTTAAGTGTGCCTTGAATTCTAAATAAATCACAGACCGTGTCACCAGCAAAGCACCGCCACATCATCACACCTCCTCCTCCATGCTTCACGGTGGGAACCACACATGCGGAGATAATCCGTTCACCTATTCTGCGTCTCACAAAGACACTGCGGTTGGAACCAAAAATCTCCCATTTGGACTCATCAGACCAAAGGACAGATTTCCACCGGTCTAATGTCCATTGCTCATGTTTCTTGGCCCAAGCAAGTCTATTTTTCTTATTGGTGTCCTTTAGTAGTGGTTTCTTTGTAGCAATTCGACCATGAAGGCCTGAATCACGCAGTCCCCTCTCAACAGTTGATGTTGAGAGGTGTCTGTTACTTGGACTCTGTGAAGCATTTATTTAGGCTGCAATTTCTGAGGCTGGTAACTCTAATGAACCTATCCTCTGCAGCAGAGGTGACTCTGGGTCTTCCTTTCCTGTGGCGGTCCTCATGAGAGCCAGTTTCATCACAGCGCTTGATGGTTTTTGCGACTGCACTTGAAGAAACTTTCAAAGTTCTTGAAATTTTACGGATTGACTGACCTTAATGTCTTAAAGTAATGATCGACTGTCGTTTCTCTTTGCTTATTTGAGCTGTTGTTGTCATAATATGGACTTGGTCTTTTACCAAATAGAGCTACCTTCTATATACCAACCCTACCTTGTCACAACACAACTGATTGGCTCAAATACATTAAGAAGGAAAGAAATTCCACAAATTAACTTTTAACAAGGCACACCTGTTAATTGAAATGCATTCCAGGTGACTACCTCATGAAACTGGTTGAGAGAATTCCAAGAGTGTGCAAAGCTGTCATCAAGGCAAAGTGTGGCTACTTTGAAGAATCTCAAATATTACATGTATTTTGATTTGTTTAACACTTTTTGGTTACTACATGATTCCATATGTGTTATTCCATGGTTTGATGTCTTCACTATTATTCTACAATGTAGAACATAGTAAAAATAAAGAAAAACCCTTGAATGAGTAGGTGTGTCCAAACTTTTGACTGGTACTGTATATATACATTTGTTGGCCTTTACTACTACAGCCCATAGAAACACATTGAGTAACACATTCATAAATGGCAAAAAATACAGTCAAAAAGTAAATCATAAGGAATAAGGTTTTGAAGTGTCTGTCCTATGTCTAGGAGTTTGGACACATATTTAACCCCTTATTTTTGTTGGCACAAAACTAGCTCCATACTTCTATTCATTTGTATGGATTACCTTCAGACAAGTCCTGTGACACTTGTGTGGGTCATAGAACAAAACGGATAACACCATCGTGTTCGTGAGTCTCCCCTTTCCCCAGTGTGCCAAACCGTTCTGACGCTACAGATGTTTTTGTGAGGAGACCGATTTTCATGGTCTGACAAACAACGATGTAGCACAACCACCTTTCTCCGCAGATGCAGAAGGTCGACATACTGTAGGCGGATGTGGTGGATTGAGTTTAAACTGACATGTTTTGATGGGATTTTTTAAATTATGTTACTTAGATTGACGCACAGGTGCGTCAAAAGACTTTTAAGGATTAACAGAGCTGAGATTGACTTCAAACTGCATTCACCCTATTGCTTACACCTATCAAGTTGTTTCAGATCTACCTAGGGAGGAGGGGTTAGGGTTTCTTCTGGACAGGGCTTAACTATACTGGTCCAATAAGCACATGCCCTAGAGATATCCCTTATTGGGACAGTGGTTAGGGTGTTCATCATTGGTGCTGGTGGGTTTGAGAGCCGCTAGGGGATTCACCCTACTCTCACATTCTTAGCAATATACACTACATTACCAAAAGTATGTGGACACCTACTCATCGATCATCTCATTCCAAAATCAATAGCATTAATATGGAGTTGGTCTCCCCTTTGCTGCTATAACAGCCTCCACTCTTCTGGGAAGGCTTTCCACTAGATGTTGGAACATTGCTACGGGGACTTTCTTCCATTCAGCCAGAAGAGCATTAGTGAGGTCGGACACTGATGTTGGGCGATTAGACCTGGCTCGCAGTCTGCGTTCCAATTCACTCCATAGGTGTTCGATGGGGTTGAGGTCAGGGCTCTGTGCAGGCCAGTCAAGTTCTTCCACAACGATCTCGACAAACCATTTCTGTATGGATCTCACTTTGAGCACAGGGTCATTGTGTGGCCTCACGTTCTGTGAGCTTGTGTGGCCTAACACTTCGTGGCTGGGCCTTTGTTGCTCCTAGACATTTCCACTTCACAATAACAGCACTTACAGTTGACCGGGGCAGCTCTAGCAGGGCAGGAATTTGACAAACTGACTTGTTGGAAAGGTGGCATCCTATGACGGTGCCACGTTGAAAGTCACTGAGCTCTTCAGTAAGGCCATTCTACTGCTAATGTTTGTCTATGGAGATTGCATGGCTGTGTGCTCGATTTAATACACCTGTCAGCAAAGGGTGTGGCTCAAATAGCCGAATCCACTAATTTGAAGGGATGTCCACATACTTTTGTATATATAGTGGATGTTAATGTCATTATTTGGCAACAGTTACAACACACCTATCTGATCTACTTAAAATGAGTTTCTCATTGAAAGATAGAAATCTGTAGGATTCATCCTTTAATTAATCATCTCAATCCATAAAGTCAATAAATCACACCATGCTTGCTCGTGAGAGGTTAGCGTAACCCTAGCTAGTAGTGGCGGGCCTTGATTCTTGGAGCTCATTGACCTTGAACTGCTAATCTCAAACACTGACTGTGTTTGTTAGCAGCTTTGTTTTGACATGACTGAGCGATGCTGAGCGTGAGCATAACATGACCAGCACCTGACTACCCTTCTGAAAAAAACGACATAGACCAGCAGATGCTGGTGACTAATGCAGTTTTTTCTGGTGACCAGCATATGTTGTGTTTTGGACACTTTGATACTGGAATGCTTGTGACCAGGAGGCATGGCTTATTAGGGGTATGGCTTTCAGATAGTTTTTTTTGGCGAGTAAATATGATTCTTGTTAAGTTCGTACACCACAAATGTAAATGTTCCTTGAATATTTTTGAACATAACTTATTCTATTATAATATTAATAACATTATTATTTACATATTGTAACAAAGTGGTAACTATCCCAACATTGGGATTTTCATAGTGTCTTAATTAAGGAACTCATACACTTGTGTAAGCCTCATTAAAGCTATGAAACTGTCAGTGTCGTCAACCTTAACATGTGATAACAATACAATAGAACAGATGAACCGGAATTAAATTTACTCTCACAGGTGGCCAAAAAGAACTACCTGAAAGCCACACCCTTACCTGCTGTCTCGACCTCTGAATGCTCTGCTATGAAAAGCCAACTGACATTTACTCCTGAGGTACTGACCTGTTGCACCGCCTACAACCACTGTGGTTATTATTTGACCCTGCTGGTCATCAATGAACATTTGAACATCTTGACGAACAGTCTGGCCTTAATGGCCATGTACTCTTATAATCTCCAACCGGCACAGCCAGAAGAGCACTGGCCACCCCTCAGAGCCTGGTTCCTCTCTAGGTTTCTTCCTAGGTTCCTGCCTTTCTAGGGAGTTTTTCCTAGCCACCATGCTTCTACATCTGCATTGCTTGCGGTTTGGGGTTTTAGGCTGGGTTTCTGTATAGCACTTTGTGACATCTGCTGATGTAAAAAGGGCTTTATAAATACATTTGATTGATCGATTGATTGATAAGCCACACCTGCAGTCTTCTGATATGACCCGCTGGGTGTAATATCTCTATAAACCAGCATCAACATCCCAACTACGTGACCCAATGCGTGCAACCCAGCAGTTGGGTCAGGATACAAACAACCCAGCATTTTTTAGAGTGTAAGGGTAGCCTATTAGTGCAACCTTTTTAATTAATTATTGTGCATGTTGATCTTACATGCTGTTAGAACAAATGTTATACATGTTAATGTTCCCTTTTTAAATTGGGTGGACTGAGACTAAAAACCATTGCCATAGCCTGTAGTAAAATCAAATGTATTTATAGAATCAGAGATTCTCTAAAGCATCTGAGATTCTCAAGTCCAAGTCAATGCAGAGTCCTCCGGGTCTCAAACAGAATAGGCCTGAGTCCACCTTGTTCACTGAGCAGCTAGACCAGCTAGACCATGCTGGTCGGCCAGCATAACCAGCTAGACTATGCTGGTCAGACAAGCTTGACCAGCATCAGACCAGCACTGAAATTGAAATTTATGCTGGTCTATGTTTTTTTTTCAGCAGGATAGCTAACAAGAACCTTTGACCCCATCCTGTGAACTATGGCATGCTCCTCCATCCTGTTTATCTCCCATCTGCCTGTGCACAGAGACAGGCGAACTCTGGTCAATACTGGTTAGATAGTCTCTTCTCACAGCCGCTGTGGAGGCAGACAAACAACAGCTAGAACTCACACAGGCGACATGTGATAAAGATACACATGACATGAAGATATAGGCCAAATACCTGGAATTCAATTCATAGGCTTCCTAGAGAGTATGGTTTTCAATGAAACTTTCAAATGGTTTGAAAGTCTCTAATAAAGATTCAGATTTAGAAATGTATGCATCCTGTATACTGTGTTGTACATAACTATTTTGAGTATTGAAGTCCTTAGAAGTGAATCCGCTCTGTGTTGTATTGCAGCTGGTGAAGACAGCAGACTTGGACCCCAGGCAGAACTACATCTTTGGTTTTCATCCCCATGGGATCCTGGTGGCTGGAGCCTTCACTAACTTCTGCACTTACGCTACAGGCTTCAGGAAACTGTTCCCTGGCCTGGACAGCTTCCTGCTGATGCTACCTCTCTGGTTCAGAGTCCCCTTCTTCAGAGACTACATCATGATGGCAGGTTAGTGGGGTTGGGGTTAGAGGTCAAGGCAGGGTTACTGTAAAACACTTTGTGACAGATGTTGCTGAAAAGACCAAGATGGCGTCTGATTAATTGATTGGTTGATTTATTGATAGATTGATGATAGCATGATACAAACATGTTTGAGTTTGATCATCGTTCGACAGTGAAGAATAGTGTACTAAACTTTTCCCCCACTGTAACCAACACCTGACCTGAGTGTCTACTGTGTGTCCCAGGTCTGATTCCCTCGGACAAGGGGAGTGCCAGCTATCTGTTACGTCGACAGGGAGGTGGGAATGCCGTTGTTATAGCAGTGGGAGGAGCCCCCGAGGCCCTGGACGCACGCCCTGGCGCCTTCACCATTCTCTTAGCCAATAAGAAGGGCTTCGTCAAACTGGCAATGGAACATGGGTAAGACCAGGGCCAGAGGTGGCAGAGTACATTTTACTGCCTGTGTCTCTGATGAAATCTTATATCTACTCTCATGGTTGCACAAGTGACTTCAACTGTGTCAATCACTTCATCATAGTTTGATATTAATGTTCACAGTGTGCACTTGTGGATGGCTTCCTGAAATAGTAACTTGTGTAAGCCCTTTGGGAATTTCAATTGGGAGCATGCAAGCACTGTATGACATACAGAGGGACAAGTCAAGTAACACCATTGATTGATTGATTGATTGAATTTATAAGACCATTTTTTAAATACATACACCAGCCGGTGACACCTCCACATACAATCTAAGAAAATCATCAAGGATATCAGAATAAAGCTTAAAAGCTTATTTCCATTGTGGTCCTTTTGGAGGGGGAAGGGGGGGGTGTCACAATGTCCAAGCTAAGATTTCGAGTTTTGGTCTTTAGTCTGTTACTGTAACCTAACAGCTTCAGACACCTCCATAATTTACTCGGATTGTTCCTGTTCTCAACAATTTTGTCATTAAAATAATATTTATTGGCCTTCTCTATCATCCCATTAACCTCATTTCTTAATTTCTTATAGTCAATAAAAACATAATCTGCCCTGGATTTCCTGAACTCCAGAAAGCATTAATTTCTTCGCTTAATTCCCTTTAAAATGTTATCGCTTATCCATGGTTCTGTTCTTTGCTTAATTCAACCACAAACAAAACAATTCTGGCGCCAGCTTGTCAACAGCATCTAAAAACAAAATTGCTCAAATAAGCAAAGAGAAACGACATTACTTTAAAGACATGAAGGTCAGTCAATCCGGAAAATTTCAAGACTTTTGAACATTTCTTCAAGTGCAGTCGCAAAAACAATCAAGTGCTATGATAAAACTGGCTCTCTGTCACGACTTCCTCCGAAGCTGCCTCCCCTCCTTGTTCGGGCAGGCTTCGGCGTTCGTCGTCACCGGCCTTCTAGCCACTGCCGCTCCATATCTCATCATTCCATTTGTCTTGTCTTGTCAATTACACACACCTGGTTCATATTCCCCTCATTAGTATGTGTTTAATTGTTCCCTCTGCCCCCTTGTCCTTGTGGGTGATTGTTGCATGTGAGATGAGGGTAGCTCGGTGGAGCTACCTGTACTTTGTATTGCCAGGGTATATTTTCCCCGTGTGCCTGTATTTGTTCCAGTGCGCCTGTTTTGCGCACTGGACTGTTGACACTATCCAGTGTAACCATGTACTACGGAATAAACTCTGTATTCTGTGATTTACCCTCCTGCGCCTGACTCCTTCAAATCACACTCTCATGAGGACCGCCACAGGAAAGGAAGACTCAGAGTTACATGTGCTGCAGAGGATAAGTTCATTAGAGTTACCAGCCTCAGAAATTGCAGCCCAAATAAATGCTTCACAGAGTTCAAGTAACAGACACATCTCAACATCAACTGTTCAGAGGAGACTGCGTGAATCAGGCCTTCATGGTCGAATTGCTGCAAAGAAACCACTACTAAAGGACACCACTAAGAAGAAGAGACTTGCTTGGACCAAGAAACACGAGCAATGAATATTAGACCGGTGGAAATCTGTCCTTTGGTCTGATGAGTCCAAATTTGAGATTTTTGGTTCCAACCGCCGTGTCTTTGTGAGATGCAGAGTAGGTGAACGGATGATCTCTGCATGTGTGGTTCCCACCGTGAAGCATGGAGGAGGAGGTGTTATGGTGTGGGGGTGCTTTGCTGGTGACACTGTCTGTGATTTATTTAGAATTCAAGGCACACTTAACCAGCATGGCTACCACAGCATTCTGCAGTGATACGCCATCCCATCTGGTTTGCGCTTAGTTGGACTATAATTTGTTTTTCAACAGGACAATGTCCCAACACACCTCCAGGCTGTATAAGGGCTATTTGACCAAGAAGGAGAGTGATGGAGTGCTGCATCAGATGACCTGGCCTCCACAATCACCCGAACTCAACCCAATTGAGATGGTTTGGGATGAGTTGGACCACAGAGTGAAGGAAAAGCAGCCAACAAGTGCTCAGCATATGTGGGAACTCCTTCAAGACTGTTGGAAAAGCATTCAAGTTGAAACTGGTTGAGAGAATGCCAAGAGCGTGCAAAGCTGTCATCAAGGCAAAGGGTGGCTACTTTGAATAACCTAAAATCTAAAATATATTTTGATTTGTTGAACACTTTTTTGGTTACTACATGATTCCAAATGTGTTATTTCATAGTTTTGATGTCTTCACTATTATTCTACAATGTAGAAAATAGTAAAAAATAAAGAAAAACCCTTGAATGAGTAGGTGTGTCCAAACTTTTGACTGGTACTGTAAATACAAACTCCCCCGCCTTTGCGATTGTGGTCTCTTCTAATTCATAAATAACTTTCTACTTCAATCTCATCGTTTTTTATCTAACCATCTAGCCATGTTTCGGTAAAGCAAAGCACTCCCGCCTTACAGTTATTGGAGAGTAGGCAAATTTCCTCGATCTGGGGAAGAAGGCTTCAAATGTTGAGATGAAGGATGTGTAGTCGTCTCGTAGAAAACCCCTTTTCTAGATGATGCAATCTCTATTGCACTCCACACTGCCCTTTCCCACCTGGACAAGAGGAACACCTACGTGAGAATGCTATTCATTGACTACAGCTCAGCATTCAACACCATAGTGCCCTCTAAGCTCATCACTAAGCTAAGGATCCTGGGACTAAACACCTCCCTCTGCAACTGGATCCTGGACTTCCTGATGGGCCGCCCCCAGGTGGTAAGGGTAGGTAACAACACATCTGCCACACTGATCCTCAACACGGGGGCCCCTCAGGGGTGCGTGCTCAGTCCCCTCCTGTACTCTCTGTTCACCCATGACTGCATGGCCAGGCACGACTCCAACACCATCATTAAGTTTGCCGACGACACAACAGTGGTAGGCCTGATCACCGACAACGATGAGACAGCCTATAGGGAGGAGGTCAGAGATCTGGCCGTGTGGTGCCAGGACAACAACCTCTCCCTCAACGTGACCAAGACAAAGGAGATGATTGTGGACTACAGGAAAAAAAAGAGGACTGAGCACGCCCCCATTCTCATCGACGGGGCTGTAGTGGAACAGGTTGAGAGCTTCAAGTTCCTTGGTGTCCACATCACCAACGAACTATCATGGTCCAAACACACCAAGACAGTCGTGAAGAGGGCACGACAAAGCCTATTCCCCCTCAGGAGACTGAAAAGATTTGGCATGGGTCCTCAGATCCTCAAAAAATTCTACAGCTGCACCATCGAGAGCATCCTGACTGGTTGCATCATCGCCTGGTATGGCAACTGCTTGGCCTCCGACCGCAAGGCACTACAGAGGGTAGTGCGTACGCCCCAGTACATCACTGGGGCAAAGTTTCGTGCCATCCAGGACCTCTATACCAGGCGGTGTCAGAGGAAGGCCCTCAAAATTGTCAAAGACTCCAGCCACCCTAGTCATAGACTGTTCTCTCTGCTACCGCACGGCAAGCGGTACCGGAGTGCCAAGTCTAGGTCCAAAAGACTTCTCAACAGCTTCTATCCCCAAGCCATAAGACTCCTGAACACCTAATCATGGCTACCCGGACTATTTGCACTGCCCCCCCACCCCATCCTTCTACGCTGCTGCTACTCTGTTAAGTATTTATGCATAGTCACTTTAACTCTACCCACATGTACATATTACCTCAACTACCTCAACTAGCCGGTGCCCCCGCACATTGACTCTGCAACGGTACCCCCCTGTATATATAGCCTCCCTACTGTCACTTTATTTTACTTCTGCTCTTTTTTTTCTCAACACTTTTTTTTGTTGTTGTTTTATTTTTACTTTTTTTTGTTTAAAATAAATGCACTGTTGGTTAAGGGCTGTAAGTAAGCATTTCACTGTAATGTCTGCACCTGTTGTATTCGGTGCATGTGACCAATAAAATTTGATTTGATTTGATTTAGGATAAACTTCAACACACCTAGGAGTATAATGGAAACTGGGTCTGTGTTCTACAAATATACTGTACTTTACAAACACATAGAGATGATCGTAACAAAGCTGAAGGCCAAACTCCTGTCTCAACTCACCTCACCTCTCCTCCACCCCTGTCCTCTCCACCCCTCTCCTTCACCCCACTCCTCTCCTCCTCTCCTCTACCCATTCGCTCCCTAGTGCCCATCTGGTGCCGGTCTTCTCCTTCGGGGAGAATGAGTTGTTCGACCAGGTGGAGAACCCTCGAGGCACCTGGCTCCGCTCGATTCAGGACAAGCTGCAAAGCATCATGGGTATCTCTCTGCCCCTCTTCCATGCGCGGGGCGTTTTCCAGTACAGCTTTGGTATCATGCCCTACAGGAAGCCCATCAACACTGTGGGTGAGTAACATTCAATGTCACTCTGAATTTCTGCCTCAGACATTGGTTCCATCTCATAGTCAAGTAGACCAGATAACTAAGCAACGTTTAAGAAATGTTAGGCCTTGCCAGTTGGTCTACAGTTGAAGCCAGTGGTTATCAGTAGCTGTCCACTATATCTGCCAAATATTCTTTGCCTAATTCTCAAGCTTTCTCCTATTTCTATGTTGCAAAGGCAATTGTTGTTTTTGGCAGAGGTTTCATATCAGTAAACTAACTGGCAGAGATGGCTATCTGTCATTAAACATGAGGAACATTGATGAGAGAGGGACAGATTTGCCCTTGGAAATATTTGACTTACCAGAATGTTACTAGATAGTTTGATTGCGTCAGTTTGCCGCAACCTCTCAGCAACAGTGGCTGGCACACGGTTAGTTAGCTGTTTGTGTACATCTATTGGCAAGGCCCAACAATGGCATTTTTATTTGGCCATCCACACTTGTCATGAGTAGAAGCATATCCAAAAAGCAAATACATTTTTGCCCATTATGCACTACTACCAGTGGCATACCGCAGTTTCACAAGGCCCGTTTTTGGTTTGGGAGCTCATGAGCCCTCCAGAGCTCATGGGCCGCCCTGCACTGTGTGGTACGCAGGGTTTTGTGGTACGCCAGTGACTACTACAGTAACCTATATATGAACGTAATGTCATCATGCATACCCTTGGACCTCTCCACAGTGGGTCGGCCAATCAGAGTGGAGAAGAATGAGAAGGCCACAGTGGAGGAGCTGGACGCCCTCCATCAGCTCTACACAGAAGAACTCAGCCAGCTGTTTGAGGAGCACAAGGGCAAGTATGGAGTGCCAGAGGACCAACACCTCAGCTTTGTCTGAAGAGAGAGAGAGAGAGAGAGAGAGAGAGAGCGAGAGGAGAGCGAGAGAGAGAGAGAGAGAGAGAGAGAGAGAGAGAGAGAGAGAGAGAGAGAGAGAGAGAGAGAGAGAGAGAGAGAGAGAGAGTTTCAAAACCACCTTTGGAGTTGCCCCACCAAGTCGGTACACTTTCCTCAACCAACTGAAGGATCCAGACCAAACTACAGGAGACAAGTAACACAATGAATTGATATGGACATTCTTTTTCAAGATATGGAACAATCTTCATAAAAACCATTGTATTATGTATGTGCCCATCCCACACTTATTTATCATCTTTATAAAAACGTAATGTCTGCAGATATTGTGCCAAATTATGTATTTTTTAACTGTGGCTCAGTTGGTAGAGCATGGCGCTTGCAACGCCAGGGTTGTGGGTTCGTTTCCCACGGGGGGCCAGTATGAAAAATGTATGCACTCACTAACTGTAAGTCGCTCTGGATAAGAGCGTCTGCTAAATGACTTAAATGTAAATATATAAATACACTGTTTAAATGCTCCATATGTCCAATTCCTTCAAATTGTAGCCTATATCATGTGCATGCTAGTCCATTACTCAGGACAAGGTAATGGGGGACACTGGGGACTGTAATGATCCTAGAGCAGGAATCATCAACTAGATTCAGCTACGGACCTATTGTTTCTTGAGCGGATGGACGGGCGGCCGGAACATAATTGCAAATAATTTGGAGACTGCAAATTGACCGCAAGAAGCCCAAACAGATATAATGTTTGACTAAAACATAAACATTTCAAACCTTGCTTAAATTTGTATACGATCACGTGTCTCTCTATTATGTGTGGCAATACTTGGGAACAGATCTCTCAAATTAAAATCACTTGGAGCTGATTTCCTGGTGTTTTTACAGTCTATTATGTACAACAATGAAACATTTTTGGGGGGCCACATAAAACCACCTTGGCCCGCGGGCCGCCAGTTGGGGAACCCTGTCCTAGAGCCACATTTCTTCCCTTAATCCTCAGATGAAGTGACATCTGTCTGGGGGATCCTATCAAGTAAAGTCTGAGGTTGAATTTGTATGGAGATTTCATGTAATGGGGTGATGCACTGTATCCTCACTTAAGACACACTGGGAAAAACTGGGTATAATTCTCATTTCACTCACTGTTTGTACATAATAATACTATATCTGGTAAATAAGTTTCCATTTACAGTATATATATAAAATCCCAATTTATTAATTTTAAATGTCTCTGTCTTAATGTCTCTGTCATGTATACATTTTTCACAATATTGTAATATAAAATCTGTTAAAATAACTGATACTATTTTTCTCACTTACAGTACATTGTTTGTATTATAATACCAGTTAATTTATTGTAATAAAGGTGATTTCAGGTCTCATTCACTGAATCAAACTGTGCACATGGCTGCCCATCCAGTTCTGATGAATTAATCAAGGGTCAGTGACAGCTTGAAGTTGGATCTGTCACGATCGTTTACGGACGAGACGGACCAAGGCGCAGCGTGATAAGCGTACATATTTATTGAAGTACTGAACACGACAAAACAACAAACAAACGATACGTGAAGTCTTGAGGTTACACAAAACAAACCTATACGGAACAAGATCCCACACAGACTGGTGCCAAAAGGCTGCCTAAGTATGGTCCTCAATCAGAGACAACGAGCTACAGCTGCCTCTGATTGGGAACCTCCCTGGCCAACATAGATCTACACGATCTAGAAACTCAACATAGAAAACTTAACATAGAAACTACACACCCTGGCTCAACATTTAAGAGTCCCCAGAGCCGGGGCGTGACAGGATCTGGTCCTTCAGCAATAAAACTGTCTGTGCACTTTCACAACACTTTTTTTATGACTGCGATGGCCAGAGTGACATATTTCCAAAGGGGCAGCAGACTGATACCTGGTCACATATTAGTGTGGAGTGGACAGTGTCCAGGCACTTTCAACAAAGACCGATGACCCACAGGCCATAAAAAAGAAAAGCACAGGGAGAGATAACCTATTCATAGCTAACAATAGCATCTATTCATGATGGTATCTTCCGTTCGGGGGGAGGTTTTGTTAAGAGCCCCGACGCTCAGTCTGAACATTAACACGCATTGCTTTCGGTATGGTGTTAGAAAAATAAGGATCTTATCTTTCATATCAGCATGAAATAATTATATATATTTTGCATTTGTGAAATTATTTTGATATGACATGAAAGAACCGTATCGCAATTAAGAATCAATTCACGTTTAGATGTATTTGGCTGTTTTGGCTGCCAGAGCCAGTCATCCTCTCAACATAACATACACTACATGACCAAAAGTATGTTGACACCTGCTCGTCGAACATCTCATTCCAAAATCATGGGCATTAATATGGAGTTGGTCCCCCCTTTGCTGCAATAACAGCCTCCACTCTTCTGGGTAGGCTTTACAGTTGGCACTATGCATTCGGGCAGGTAGCGTTCTCCACTCGAGCCGACGTTTGGCATTGCGCATGATGATCTTAGGCTTGTGTGCAGCTGCTCAGCCATGGAAACCCATTTCATGAAGCTCCCGGCGAACAGTTCTTGTGCAGAGGTCAATTTTATTTCACCTTTATTTAACCAGGTAAACCAGTTGAGAACAAGTTCTCATTTACAACTGCGACCTGGCCAAGATAAAGCAAAGCAGTGCGATAAAAACAACAACACAGAGTTACATATGGGGTAAAACAAAACAAAGTAAAAAATACAACAGAAATAAATATATATACAGTGTGTGCAAATGTAGCAAGTTATGGAGGTAAGGCAATAAATAGGCTATAGTGCAAAATAATTACAATTAGTATTAACACTGGAATGATAGATGTGCAAGAGATGATGTGCAAATAGAGATACTGGGGTACAAATGAGCAAAATAAATAACAATATATATAATATATAATATAATAATATAATATAATAATAATAATAATAATATGCCATTTAGCAGACGCTTTTATCCAAAGCAACTTACAGTCATGCGTGCATACATTTTTTTTGTGTATGGGTGGTCCCGGGGATCGAACCCACTACCTTGGCGTTACAAGCGCCGTGCTCTACCAGCTGAGCTACAGAGGACCACAATATAGGGATGAGGTAGTTGGGCGGGCTAATTTCAGATGGGCTGTGTACAGGTGCAGTGATCGGTAAGGTGCTCTGACAACTGATGCTTAAAGTTAGTGAGGGAGATAAGTGTCTCCAGCTTCAGAGATTTTTGCAATTTGTTCCAGTCATTGGCAGCAGAGAACTGGAAGGAATGGCGGCCAAAGGAGGTGTTGGCTTTGGGGATGACCAGTGAGATATACCTGCTGGAGCGCATACTACGGGTGGGTGTTGCTATGGTGACCAATGAGCTAAGATAAGGCGGGGATTTGCCTAGCAGTGATTTATAGATGGCCTGGAGCCAGTGGGTTTGGCGACTAATATGTAGTGAGGACCAGCCAACAAGAGCGTACAGGTCACAGTGGTGGGTAGTATATGGGGCTTTGGAGACAAAACGGATGGCACTGTGATAGACTACATCCAATTTGCTGAGTAGAGTGTTGGAGGCTATTTTGTAAATGTCAAGGATCGGTAGGATAGTCATTTTTACGAGGGCATGTTTGGCAGCATGAGTGAAGGAGGCTTTGTTGCGAAATAGGAAACCGATTCTAGATTTAACTTTGGATTGGAGATTCTTAATGTGAGTCTGGAAGGAGAGTTTACAGTCTAACCAGACACCTAGATATTTGTAGTTGTCCACATACTCTAGGTCAGACCCGTCGAGAGTAGTGATTCTAGTCGGGTGGGCGGGTGCAAGCAGCGTTCGGTTGAAGAGCATGCATTTAGTTTTACTAGTGTTTAAGAGCAGTTGGAGGCTACTGAAGGAGTGTTGTATGGCATTGAAGCTTGTTTGGAGGTTTGTTAACACAGTGTCCATGAAGGGCCAGATGTATACAAAATGGTGTCGTCTGCGTAGAGGTGGATCTGAGAGTCACCAGCAGCAAGAGCGACGTCATTGATATACACAGAGAAAAGAGTCGGCCCAAGAATTTAACCCTGTGGCACCCCCATAGAGACTGCCATAGGTCCAGACAACAGGCCCTCCGATTTGACACATTGAACTCTATCAGAGAAGTAGTTGGTGAACCAGGCGAGGCAGTCATTTGAGAAACCAAGGCTATTTAGTCTGCCAATAAGAATGCGGTGGTTGACAGAGTCGAAAGCCTTGGCCAGGTCAATGAAAACGGCTGCACAGTACTGTCTATTATCGATCGCGGTTATAATATCGTTTAGGACCTTGAGCGTGGCTGAAGTGCATCCATGACCAGCTCGGAAACCGGATTGCATAGCGGAGAAGTTATGGTGGGATTCGAAATGGTCGGTGATCTGTTTGTTAACTTGGCTTTCAAAAACTTTTGAAGGGCAGGGCAGGATGGATATGGGTCTGTAACAGTTTGGATCTAGAGTGTCACCCCCTTTGAAGAGGGGGATGACCGCGGCAGCTTTCCAATCTCTGGGGATCTCAGACGTTACGAAAGAGAGGTTGAACAGGCTAGTAATAGGGGTTGCGACAATTTCGGCGGCTAGTTTTAGAAAGAAAGGGTCCAGATTGTCTAGCCCAGATGATTTGTAGGGGTCCAGATTTTGCAGCTCTTTCAGAACATCAGCTGTCTGGATTTGTGTGAAGGAGAAGCGGGGGGGGGGGGGCATGGGCAAGTTGCAGCGGAGGGTGCAGAGCTGGTGGCCGGGGTAGTGGTAGCCAGGTGGAAAGCATGGCCAGCTGTAGCAAAATGCTTGTTGAAATTCTCGATTATTGTAGATTTATCGGTGGTGATAGTGTTTCCTAGCCTCAGTGCAGTGGGCAGCTGGGAGGAAGTGCTCTTATTTTCCATGGACTTTACAGTGTCCCAAAACTTTTTGGAGTTAGTGCTACAGGATGCACATTTCTGTTTGAAAAAGTTAGCCTTTGCTTTCCTA